TTCGCGAAAACAAGGGCGTTTTCGCCCCGGGCTGCTGTGTGTCGACGCGGACAACCGGACCGAAGTTTCCTTGCGCTCTCGAAACCGCGAGAAGGACTTAAATGTTACTTAACATGAAGGCATATATCACGCTCATGCGTGAACAATTTATTTTATATTTAATATAAAATATTTTAAAATTATTAATACTGCTTTTATAATTTATTAATATTGCTAACATTTTTTTTATAAACATGTTTCTAAGTTATTTTTTTTTTTACAGTTAGAAAACTTTGATTTAAAAGCACTACTTCAAAAAACAGTAATTGGACAAGCAATTATAGCTTCGTACCATACAAGGAATGGATTACCGCTAAGATGCCAACAATATTTGTCAAATATTATTATCTCCAATTTTTTTGATAATGACATTAAGTAAGCATTCTTCTAAACCTCTGACGTAATGTATACTTATACACAGAGTGTTAGTGCAAATTAGATGTCCTCTATGCAAGTAGAACATGTCGAGTGAAAGAATCTCATTTTGCTAAAATTTACTCGTAAATTTTTTAACTATTAATTGAAGAAGATCAGTGAACGATTACTTATTATTAAAATTTTTTTTTTTTAACGGTTTTATATATTTATGACTTAAACAGTTTTAGTATTTAATTTTTATATATAAAAGTTTTTTAACGAATTTCTGACTTACCTTTTTGGTATATTAACTTTTTGACTTGATTTATTATAGTTGTTCTTTTTTATTAAGTTCTTTTACATAGTTTTAGCCTATAATTTTTAACTATTTATTCATTGTTGTGTTATTCGGAAGATTGACGGATCCTAATTTTAATTCTATTCTTTTCCTATGATCTCTCGTTCCTTAGAGACCGCCATGTCAAAAGTTTCTTTTCAAAATCATACGTTAAAATCATGGATTACCGCACATATTTGTAAGAGGACAGCATAAAAATGAAAGGACTAAGCCTGGATCCTCCACGTCGGTTAATACCTCCTTTATCGTTGCGAATATTATTTATAAGAAGAGACGAATAGTATGTAAGTTTATGTTTTATATATAATGCGTTACCGCCTACCTCTCTGAAGATGACCACATATTTAGGGTCGAAACGTCAGAGGTTTTTGATATTGTTCTTTGTATTGTAATTTATTGATTTATTCTTAATTTATTTATGTGATAATTATAATTACTTAAGCAAAGTTCACCCTGCTCTTTAACGCTTCTTTCTGATATTCGAAATTTGTTTATTCGTAAGAGCCTTATCCGTTTACAATTTTAAATTTTATTATAAAAACTTTCAATTTCATAAGTTTTACCTACATGAACGGTTAAACATCAAAATTCAAAACACTCCGTGTAAATATACATATGTTGTGTATGAAAATATGCTTGGCTTTCTTTTTTTCAATAAAATTTGTTTTAATTAATGTAGTATCAATTCTATACAATAATGTGTTTATAATGAGGAATATAATATTATATTTCCTATGTAATTATATTGATGTTTTTTCAGCATCTTGCTAAATAATGATAAATTGAACAAGATTGCGGATCATATAATAACTCTCTTTCCTGCTGAATGTAAGGAAGTTTATTATTGTCCACCTGTGAAAAAGAAAGATTCAAAACACTATAAATCCGGTATTGCTAAAGGAAAATTAGTTGACAAATATAGAAACATGTTAGTGTTTTTAAGGAAATATCATTTAATTCCATTGAATAAATCTGCTTCAGTGAGTAATTCCAAAGATGATGAAATTTCTGATGAAGGTTAGTGTAAAATAACATATTTTTACAATTAATTTTATATATTCCTTTTTACAATGCTTTATTTTAAAGAAGGTATTTGATAATCACGAGGAAGCAGAGCGGAGTCACGAATGGCTTAAAAATAATATTGAACCTTGGGAAGATGTTATGCATCATTAGGAAAACTCATTTATACTAAGAAAAAATTTATTATTTGACCGTACGACTTACCCACTTTTATGCTTAATTTTTGACGATTGGAACATATTGACATCTTCAAAAGGCTATGTATTGGTAAATATAAATTGCAATGTATAATGTTTATACAATGTATCTGATAAGTGACTAGCCAACTGAAGAGAAAAAGAATTAGGAATTAAAAATAAAGAAATAATCAGAGACCATTTTGCAAAATTTCCAATCATTATTCAATAATTGGTTAAAATATTTAAATTAATATATCTGACGTTTCATTTACTTTTTTTAGTTTATTTAACAAATTTTTACTGTTAAGCTGTTGTCTTATAATGCTGCGTAATATCATTTACAAAATAAGTCTTATTTTGAATTTAACTTTTAATTACAGATTGAAAAGGATTATTTACGATTACATCCAAACACACGTAAAAATGTTCAAGAAAAGTTTAATTTTATATTCGATGCTGTATTGGAATTAAGAGGCACAGAATTGGATTGTTCCAACAAATTATTATTGGATATGTTGAATGGCACTATTCCAAATGGTAATAAAAAATAAAATAATATATATGTAAATATCGACTAATATTGTTTTTTGTTTTAGATTCGAAAAATTTAATTAAAATTTCTCTATTATTTTCACTTCTACCGAATAAGTCTTCAAAAGCAAAAGTTGGCAAAAATTTCTTTAAACCATCTCTAGTTGAATCACAAGAATCTGTAATACTTCATGTTAAGATCTTTATAATTTAAATGAATTATAATTTCTCTCTCTCCCTCTCACTTATTTAGAAGAAATATGTAAATATTATATTATTTTAGATTCCTGCTGACGTAGAAGAGGAAATAGAAAAAAAAAGCAAATGGCTTCGAAAATTCAAATTGACATTGCAGCCTTTTATTTTTGTGATAGGACCTTTTTTAACAGAAATCAAAGAAATTTTTGTAGTACTCGATAACGTCTCATATAAGCTGAAAACATTATTGAGAGCTGTTGAAATATGTTTTATGACGTTTATCGTCCTGAACTTAAAATATCCACTTGCGGCAGAACACATCTGGTATTTACTTCAAAGAACCGTTTTTGATCTCGAATTACAAGGAGACAACAAAATTCCCATGATTTGCGACGTGATTTAAAAAATTTCTAAATAGTTTTTACCTTGCAATTTCTCATATATTGAATTTATGTTTTCATATTCTAAATATTTATAAGTTTTTACCTTGCATTTTCTAATATATTATATAGAATTTATGTTTTCATATTCTAAGACGTTCTAAGTATTTATAAGTATTAGACTTTTTATTTGATGGTTGCTAGTTTTACCAAAAACATTACTTTTATTTTTTCTTTTAAAATGATTTGTACTATTTGTTATCAAAAATTTAAAAGTATTGAAACTATACTAAAACATATGAAGGCAACCCATCCTTATGAAGAAAGTTATCAATGTGGCTTTTCCGAATGTTTTAGGAAGTATGTTAACATTGAGTCTTTAAAGAAACATTTTAATACTTCACATAAGAAGTTTTGTAATAATAGTGATGCATCACTTACATTAAATAAACGACTTACCAATGTACATATTTTTGATGAAACATCATCTTCAAGTAATATTGACATAATGACTATTGTCAACGAATCTTATATTGAGGATGACGATAAAAATGTTACAAATATAAAAACAGTCGATGATGCGATATTGAAATTCATTGCGCAGTTATATAGTAATAGCTCGATTACAAGGAATGTTGTGCAAATTTTAGTTGATGATTGTTCAGAACTTGTGCAAGATTTATTGTCATACATAAAATATCAGTTGCAATCTGAAACATGTTTTTCTAATGATATTTCAAGAATGCTCGATAACATTTTTGAAAATATAAGGCCTTTTGAGAAATATTCGACAGAATACAGACGTTTACAGTTTTTCAAAGAATCTAAATGGCTTATACAGCCACAGAAATTTCTCCTGGGAGAAATTTTTGATAATTATAAGGATAAAAATAATTTTTTAACAGTAACACCAAGAAAATGTGAAGGACACTTTATTCCATTACGTGAGTCCCTAAAACAATATTTAGAATTACCTGGGGTACTAATGTCAATTACAGATTATATTGCAAAAGAGTCAGTAGAAGAAAATACTTTGTCAAGTATTTTTTGTGGAAATATGTGGAAAAATTTAGTTAAAAGATTTAATAATAAGATATTATTGCCTTTGCTATTATACTATGACGACTTCGAAACAGGAAATCCTTTGGGATCGAGCGCATCTGTTCATAAATTGGGCGGACTGTATTACACAATTGCAGGTATACCAAAAGCTCATGCCTCATCTTTAGAAAATATTTTTCTTGTTGAACTTGTATATAGCGCGGATCGTGAAACCTTTGGTAATAAAGTGTCTTTCAAACCAATTATTAACGAACTCCTTTATTTAGAAAATTGTAGTATCACTGTATGCGTAGATAAAAAAGAACATCAAATTTTTTTTTCTTTGTTTGCACTATTAGGAGATAATTTAGGGTTAAACGATTTACTTTTTTTTACTAAATCGTTTTCTGCTCATTTCTGTTGTCGTACTTGTCGCTCTTCAAAATTAAAAATAAAATCTCAATCTGAAGAAAATATAGAATTATTAAGAACA